CCAGCGCCACCCCGACCAGCTCCACCTCCTCCGCCGCCGCCTCCTCCACCGCCGCCACCTCCGCCACCTCCGCTCCCACCGCCACCGCCGCCGCCGCCTCCGCCTCCACTGCCGCCACCGACACCTCCACCCCCGCCACCACTCCCACCACCACCCCCACCCCCTCCACTGCCGCCACCGCCACCTCCGCCACCCCCGCCAGCCCCTCCAACACCCTTGCCCCCCTTGCCCTTGCCGGTGCGGCGTCTCCCGCTCGGGGCAGACGCAGCGCCGACCGACTCGAGACCAACGAGGTCGGCCGCAGCAGCAGAGGCAACAGAGGGCAAAAGGGGGGAGGGGGAACACCCCTCAAAGACGGGGGTGCGAGGGTCACCACGAGAGGCTCCTACAGCGACTATGCTCTTCTCTGCTGCTAGGAGGGCCTTCTCGAGGAGGTCAACGGTGAGAGTGGTGGGGCAAACTGAGAGGAAGTGGTCCCTGACTACGCGAAGGGAGTCAGGGAGCCGGGTGACTATGTAGTAGAGGGTGATGTACATGGGGGGGGGGTTCTTGGCGCAGAACTCAGCAGGAAGCGCAGCGCGGTAGCGAGTGTCACTAGTGCGGAGGTGCGTAATGAGGTCAGCGACTGTGGGAAAGGCAGCAAGGTCAGGGAAGAGGTACGGTAGCATGAGGCGGCTCAGTGCAGCAGTGGCAGGGGAGGAGTAGCGCGCAACTACAGCGTCGTACAAGGTGTGAGCACTCTTGTACTGGCTAAAGTGCGCACGCTCAGAGGTAGGCAGGTGGCGACGCACAGCTAGATGTGCAGCAGCATCGCGTGTGGCCCACTGTGAGCGAACAGTGGCGTCGGCATCAGCAGCAGGGGCAGGAGAGGCACCAGAGGTGAGGTCAAAGAGGGAGAGACCGTCTGCCCTATCGCACTGTAAGAAAAGCTGCAGGTCATCTACCCAGACGTCAAAGTCAATGGCCCGACCCTCAGCGTCAAAGGCGAGGACACTAGGGGTAGCCATGACAGCAGTAGACTAGCAGTGCGAACAGTAGGGTAAGGGCAGTGCAGTGATAGAGGCGCTGCTCTTACCGGACAGGGCGGCTCGGGCGGCTCGGCGGCTCGGCAGGACGGCGGGTCGGCGACACGGCGGCTCGGGCGGCTCGGCGGCTCGGGCGGCTCGGGCGACTCGGCGGCTCGGGCGGCTCGGGCGGCTCGGCAACTCGGCGGCCCGGGCGGTTCGGCGGTCGGCTGCTGGGCGGCTCGGCGGCTCGGCGGCTCGGCTGCTCGGCTGCAGGGCGGCTCGGCGGCTCGGGTGCTCGGCTGCTGGGCGGCTCGGCGGCTGGTGTGGTTGGTGACGACCGCGGCAGCAGTCGCAGAAGCTGTGGCGACTGCTGCTGCAGAGACGGCTGCGGCTGCTGCCTCAGGGACGGCGGCTGCCGGCCGCTAGGGGCCGCGAAGAGCGGCGGAGAGGCCGTGAAGGGCGCCACGAGGGGCCGTCGAGGGCGGCGACAGGCCGTGAGGAGGCCGCGGAAGGCGGCTCGAGGGGCCGCGAGGGGGGGCCGTAAGGGGCCGACTGGCGACGGGAGGGGCCGAAGGGGGCCGCGGGGGGGGGGGGGGGGGGGGGGGGGGCGTAAGGGTAGCGCGAGGGGCCGTAAGGGCGGCGCAAGGGGCCGTGAGGGCTGCGCGACGGGCGCGACGGGCCGTAAGGGCGGCACGAGGGGCCGTGAGGGCGGCGCAACGGGCGCGACGGGCCGTAGGGGCGGCGCGACGGGCCGTAAGGGCGGCGCGACGAGCCGGCTCGGGCGGCGCTAGGGAGCCGTGAGAGGGTCGCTAAGGGCGACGCGACGGGGCCGTGAGGGGCCTAGCGAGGGCGCGACGGTAGGGAGAGCACACAGGGCGCGACTCGGGCCGGAGCGAAGCGCGCTCCGGGCAGGAAAAAAAAATTTCGTGGTGGTGGGCCCTAGGAATCGTTCCCACTAGGGAACCTGCTCGATACCATGAGAAGAAACGAGGAATGAGTTGACTAAGGGAAAGTTGGGTACAAATGTAAACCCTAGAAAACTGTACCCCATATGTGCTACCCCACTATAGCCTACAGTAGCTATGTCATATAAATCTGACATTGTACCCTATGTGGACGACATCCTGTTTTTATGCAAGTCCAAGGCACATGCACAAGCAACATGCCAGATGATAATCTCGGACCTCAAGATGGCGGGCCTGGTAATCAACGCGAAAAAGTCGCAGCTGTCACCGTCACAACACCTGCGATTCTTGGGCGTCGAGCTGGATACCAACTCCGGACAATTCTCCATTGGCACCGATCGACGAGCATCACTTCATGCACACATTCTCAATCTCCTGGGCGCAAGCAAAGCACGTCGGCAGGTCCCAGTCCGCCACCTGGCTAGAATCACTGGCACGCTCGCGTCAATGGCTGTCGCGCTAGGTGCCACGGCGCGCGCATTCAGCCACGCCATGTTACAAGCGATCAACGACGCGCCATCCTGGGGAAGCAGTGTGAGCATTTCCCCGTCTGTGGCCGAGGAGCTGCAATTCTGGCTTGAGGAGTTCGACAGATTCAACGGCGCACCATTCCACGTCCGGAACAGTTACGACGCCGTAATCCACGTGGACGCCAGTTCCCACAGTTGGGGTGCCACTCTGCTCACCTTCCCTGGCGAACTCGAAGAAGCCAGTGCAGCCATGCCAGAACCATTGCACGCACCGTCCAGCACCCGACGGGAAATCGAAGGTGTCCTATGGGCCCTCCGAACGTACGCGAACAAGGTCCGACGGAAACACGTGCTCGTGAGGGTGGACAACCAAGGGGTCTTCTTCATCCTTCGCAAAGGCGGTTCCCGCACCCCCGACCTGACCAACGCTTGCAAGGACATCATTCGCACCTGCATGGAGCTCGGCACTCGACTAATTGTCGAATGGATCCCGCGTGAGCTTAACTCCCATGCCGACGAGTTGTCGAAACTGATCGACCATGACGATTACTCACTGAAGCAACCATGGTTCCGAATCCTTGATCGCCGCTGGGGACCCCACTCCATCGATCTCTTCGCGAACCATCGCAACTCGCATCTGCCACGATTCTGCTCAAAGATCCCTCACCCAGAGGCTACTGCGGTTGATGCATTCTCATGCTCATGGACAGCCGAGAATGGCTTCGCGTTCCCACCACCCCAGCTGATCCCAGCAGTCATCCACCACGCACAACGCACCCACGCATCACTCACCCTAATTGCCCCACACTGGACGGGGGCAAACTGGTGGCCACTCTTACAACCCTCCCCACCAAACTGGGCCCCGCACATCAGAGCGCACATTCCCCTGACGCACGGCAGCCAATGTCTAGCAGTAGGAATGCACCGCACTGCATTCTCAGGCACAGGACTGCCTCATAGCACAATCATTGCACTACGAGTGGTCTTCAACTAACCCGCCCATACGCCTGTGCGCAGACGTGTTGCCGAAGCTACAAGTCCAGCTTCTAAAGATGCTCTCCCAGTCTCGGGCCGATTCAACAATCCGAACATATGAGCCATACTGGGTCAAGTTTCGAGCCTTTTGTGCAAAGGTGAACCTCCCATTCCTCCCCACGGCGGACATGACCCTCGCGCTGTACCTGGTGTACGCGATCCAACACAAAGCCACCTTGTCCATGGTACAACTCACATGCTCAGCCGTGAGCTTTGCACACCGCATGACTGGGAGCATCTGCCCAACGATCGGACCATTCACCACTCAAGTACGCGATTTCGCAAAAAGGCACTTCCCTCGCCCCATGCGAGTGAAGGAGCCTGTCTCGCTGCAACAAGTCCACGACATGTCTGCCAGCTACCTGCAATCCGACAACCCAGGAGAGTTCCAAAAGGGGCTAATCCCCATCCTCATGTACACCGGATTTTTAAGATACTCGGACCTCATCGTCATCGAGTGGCAAGACATCCAGTTCGAGAACGAGGTCATGTGGATTCTAATTCCGTACTCCAAGACGGACCAAGCTGGAAGGGGCACATGGATACCCATCGCCGCAACTCATGACCCCTTTTGCCCCGTCCGCTGCACCCGACGACTCATCCAACTTGCGGGGTACAACCAGCAGTCCGCGGGGCCACTTATTCGAGTCTTTGGACGCGGTTCACCCCAAAGTGGCCAAGCAAGGCCGCCATCATACCCGACGATCCGAAACTGGTGTAAAGAAGCGTTCGGGAGGATCGGATTAGGAGAACAGCAGCTGGGCACTCACTCCTTTCGCAAAGGAGCAGCCACTGCCGCGGCAAACACCAGTGTGCCAGACAGAATCTTCAAACGACTGGGCAGATGGCGCAGCGACACAGCGAAGGAGATGTACGTCACGCCCAACGCCGAACACCTCGTCAACGCCTCCCGTCAGTTGCAAGATCTGGCATACTCCCCTTCTTCAGCGCAGCATGCCGAGGCACTCGTCCGCCATCGAAAGCCCCCGCTGCCCATGTCTCAGAGACCCCAGTTGCAATGAGAACGATGCCAAATGATCAGTATAAGAAAGCAAGCTTTCTAAATATGATAATTTTTAAACACACGAAGTGTTTTTCAAAATTACGTATTTCGAAAGCGCAGCTGCCTGTAACGCAGATTTGGCATCGTCGAAGCGCACTAAACGCCCTTCTCCAACTACAAAACGTGGGTTGGAGCTCATTTCCCTCCACCCACGTCTCTCATTTTCCAACGGCTCATGCAACTCTCCCACCCCCCACCCCGACACCGAGGACATCTGCGACGCCGCTGGAACAGGAGGACAGACAGTTAGTCATATGATTGGTAGTACGCACGCATAATGCAGGATAGCTAGTACAATGCTATGGTAGGTGGAATCAGGTCATGTACTAGCATCTATATTGTCTAGCTCGAGGTGCATGTTGTAATTTGCCAGTTGCAATGAGAACGATGCCAAATGATCAGTATAAGAAAGCAAGCTTTCTAAATAGATGAAACGGCATACACACATAATCACATCACATCACATTCCTACGTAATCAGCCAGTCGAAGCAAATCTGTCAACGCTCCCGGCATCAATTTCCGGGCAAACAGAAAACAAGGAACACTCTCATCAGCTACTCTACAGCCCGGAGGCCCTCTCATCCTCTCTATAAGCTTCTCCGTCACCTGACCCGCACTAAACTGCGCAGGATGCGCAGCACCCGGCTTAGACCAATCCGTCCAAGTAACTGTCCTATTGGCCACATTTCCCGGCATAAGAACCTTCAGCATAGTCGGCATGTAGTGCTCGTCCGCGTAACACGGCGGCCTGCAGAACCGCTTAAAAAGAGGATAGAAAATATCGTCCGCGACAATAACCCTAGCTGCTTCCCTATCCATGGCAAACCACTGCCCTCCCTTCCTCCAATCTTCCAGCCGAACCAGAGGCAGAAACTCCCTCCGCCACCTCCCCCGCCCGTTCGTCCCAGGCTCGTTCTTCAAACGAACGTATGCTTTGGGCGAGGCCATGAGGTACGCGTAGACGAATGTGAAGTTAAAGAGGGGAGCGCAGGACTCCGAAACGAGGATAAAGCGCGCATTGCCCGGGTCCAGAAGTGCGTTGGCTAGCAGACGGCGTTCTGCGTCCACCATTCTGATCTCTCCCCAGTGCACATCCTGGGGTGGGAGAAAGGGGTGGGGGCGAAGGGGGGTTGGCATGATTGGGAATGAGGGCGGATGACTAGAATACGAGGATGAAGCATGTGTTTCCAGGGTCCAGGAGGGCGGTGGCTAGCAGGAGTCTTTCTGAGTCCACCATGCTGATCTCTCCCCAGTGCACGTCCTGGGGTGAGAAAGAGGGGGCGATGGGCGTTGAGAGATAGAGAATGAGGGAGCAATGGAGGCTGGGATCAACATGAACTATCCGTGTTTGCTAGCAGGCGACGTCCCGCGTCCACCACACTGATCTCTCCCCAATGCAAGTCCTGGCGGTGAGAGACAGGGGGTATGGGGAAAGGGGAGATGGGGAAGATGGGGTAAGATGGAAAATGATAGGGCATGACTTAATAACGAGGATGAAATGTGCATTGCCCGGGTCCAAGAAAGCGATGGCTAGCAGGCGGCGTTTCGTATCCACCATGCTGATCTCACCCCAATGCACGTCCTGGGGTGAGAGCAAAGGGGGATGGGATAGATGGGGAGTCGATAAGAGGGGGAATGAGGGCGCAGGACTCTGAAACGAGGATGAAGCATGCGTTTCCCGGGTCCAAGAGAGTGTTGGCTAGCAGGCGGCGTTCCGCGTCCATCATGCTGATCTCACCCCAGTGCACGTCCTGGGGGTGAGGAGGGGATGGAGGAGAAGGGGGTGATGAGGAATGAGGGAGCGATGGAAGCTGGAATGAATATAGACTACCAGCGCTGGCTAGCAGGCGGCACTCTGCATTCACCAAGCGGATCTCACCCCACTGCACGTCCTGGGGTGAGATAGAGAGCCAGGGAGATGGGGAGATTGGGAATGAGTGAGCGATGGAGGGTGGATAATATGTGATGTGCACTGGGGCGAACCGACTGTTGGTGTTGGTTAGCAGGGTGATAAAAGTAGAGTTTTGAGAACCGACGCCTGCTAACCAACACCGACTTTCGGTCTCAAAACTCTACTTTTATCACATGTGATGTGCACTGGGGTGACCGACTGTCGGTGTTGGTTAGCTTAGCAGGCGTCGTTCTGCGCCCACCCTGCTGATCTCGCCCCAGTGCACGTCCTGGGGGTGAGAGAGGAGGGTAGGAGATGGTTGGCAGGAGTGGAATGGGAGGAAGTGCCGAGCTGTGGAGATCTGGCACTCCGAGCTGCTCGGCACTTCTTCCCCTTCCACTCCGAGGGTAGTAGGTGGTTGGCAGGAGTGGGCTGTGAATCTCATCTGCGCGCCTTCTGTGCTGCTCTCCCCCATCTGCATGTCCTGGGGTGAGATGAAATGGGGAAGATGGGGAGTCGAAAAGATGGAAAATGAGGGGGCGATGGAGGATGGAATGTGTGTGATGTGAACTACCCATGTTGGCTGGGAATCCCCTCCCTCTCGGTGTCTTCTGTGCTGCTCTGGCCTCACTGCAGGGACTGGGATGGGGAGAGAGAGGGGATGGGAGTGGGTAGGGGTGTTGGAATGATGGAGTTGGGGAGAAAGGAAGATAGAGTGAGGTGGCAGAGTTTTGAGATGTGTCAAACACGGGAGAAGAAAGAGGAGAAAAGGAAAAGAGATTGGGATAACATCACATGCGCCTGATTGCCTAGACTAACTCACTTGACTCGGTATGTGTGCGCCTTCAAACGCGGATGGAAGCTCCCCTGGCTTATACCGAAACTCGCGAGCCGTGTGGATGTAGATAGAGAAGAAACCCTCATGGCCTTTGAAGAACCGTTCCCAAAAAGGAGCCAGTGGCAAACGGCCACGTGTCATGAACAGAAAGGCGAGTTTCGAGGTTTGTATAGACGCCTCGGTAAGGCCTACCCTCCCTGCCTTATATCGGAGCAAGAAATCCGCATCTAGCTGATCGGAAACATTAGCTTAAATGGACGGCGAGGATTCCACGCCAGAGTCAGCCTGGCCGTCATTACGAGCACTGTAATCTGTGATCTGATTGGTCGCCTGGACAACAGAATCTATCTTCGAATCTACACCCGAATTTGAAGCAATCGTGGAGTTGACCGAGATTGCTTCAAGATCTCTGATATCTCGATCTCGATTTCCATCTCTATCTCCATCCTTATCCAATGACATCACTCTCTGCCAATAGCCACGCTGGCACGTCCATCCTCCTGTCATGATACCAAGAAAGAACACGATCGGCAGCACTAAGAGGTATATCGGGCCTGCGCGTCTCGAGGATGGCCTTGCAGCGGATTTCCCGGCGCCGGGAGCAGAGTTGACGGGAGAAGCCGCCAAGGATGGGAGAGAGGGAGTGCGACCGACAGTCCTAGGCTCGGCCATGGCTGCCGCAAACGTGTTGTGGGAAATTAGCGACTTAGTGATTATCCGAAAAATACTCCAGGGCGTTTATGGGATCTCGACTAGATTCTATCAGAAAAGAGTTATCATCATCATACCCCATGCCGCCCAATGACGCCATGGCTGCTGGTTCATGCCATGTCATGTGCCACACTCTTTTCGGAGACACTTCGTAGAAAGATTTTCGTACTCGTTTCGCGTCCAGCTTGACTGACCGTCCCGATAAAGGCAGTTGTTAGATATAAGGAGGATATTAGCTAATGCAATATGTGTAAATTGTGTTTCACTAAAAGTAATATTCAGCAATACTCCACAAAATGTGCAGCGAAGTCATTCAATGTCCCTAAAGAAATCAGCCATTGCTGACCCACGTGCCTTGAAATTTCCACGACGGTTGGGAGAACGACGCCTTTTCCTCCCTGCGGCGGCAGAAACAGAGAAGGGAAAAAAGGAACAATTTCTGTGTAGACTTGTTTCTGTGCACAGCCCATAATGCAATATAACCATGTTCAACCTTTGTGCATCACCATAACAATGAAATATTGTATGAGTGAATGAAATACAACCATTGCATTCAAAACAAAGCAACTATACCGTACTCACCTCCCTTGCCACCGTCGTCGTCGCTGCTGTCTGAGTCATCGTCTCTCCCACCTCTCCGGTCACTGTCACTATCACTCTCCTTACAGTCACCCCTTCTTCTCCCAGCAGCTTTTTGCTCCTTTCCCCGCCCTTCACCGTCTGCTGCTTGTTCTGCCCCTCCATGTCCCACTCCCGATTTATCAGCACCAGCAGCAGCAGAGGCTGGCTCGTTCGGATCTTTTCCATTTGCCACTGTATGGTCTCCTCCTCCTGCTCCAGTCTTTTCACCTTGCTTCTCCTCCTCCTCTTCCTCTTCCTTCTCCTCCTCCCCATCCTCTCCCTCCTCCTCCTCATCCAAAATTCCTGCGATGTCCCATGCCTAGAGAAGGAGGGGACAGCCGAGAGGAAGGAGAACAGAAGGTGCAAGGTGGAGGGAGTGTGAGGAAAACGAAGGACACAGTGACAGGAAGGAAGGGGAACACATGGGGTGTAGAACTCGAGAATCAAGCACCATCATCTGCCCTCTCATGACACATCATACCCTGTTGTGCCATGTCATGCCATCTCATGGTGCCCACCACCCCCTCACCTTGATCTTCTGGTCATGGCCCGCGCTCACAAGCAGGTTGTTATCGTGAGAAAGTGCTGTGGGGGAAAGGTGGGGAAGGTGGATGTGGTTACAGGACAGGATGGGGTGGTTACAGGACAGGATGGGGTGGTTACAGGACAGGATGGGGTGGTTACAGGACAGGATGGGGTGGTTACAGGACAGGATGGGGTGGTTACAAAGTGGAGAGGAGGGAAAAGCATACCATCTTAAAGTTCAACCAATAACAGCCATCGCATAGCATTGGAATAACACTGAGCTTTTCAAAAGGCACTTTCAACATGTCGACTTCTGGGTAGAACAAAAGCCAAGTTGAACCTATTATGGCCATCACAGCAGCATTGGAATGAGCAGCAGCGCATAGCCACCCCAGGTAATACACAGAGCATCTCCATAGCAGCAGTGTTGGGTGACTTTTGAGGTGCAAAAAAAACAAGACTCCCGGGTCGCCTAGAAAAACACTAGTTTTGAGTCGCCTAAAAAAACACAAGCCTCAAAAAGCACAGCATAGCATATCCAAAGCATGAAAGGCTGGCCGTGTCATCACTCACTGCCATGCCTTAGCAAGCAGTTGCCATCCCACACCCAACCAGTGCCTCCACAGCAGCGTCAGTGTCCGAGCCGCCAACATCGAGAAAGCGGTTGGGGAAGACAGAGAAAACTCTGGGAACATACGATCTCATCCGATTTTACGGGTGAGAATACCAAGATGCCATGTTATCGCAGCAGCACCGGCAGCCACTGACCCAGTGCGTCCACAGCAGCGTCGGTGTGTGAGCCCACGACAGGGAGAAAGCGATCATCAGGGACACAGCATTCAAGTGATACGGAGTGCCATGATGACATGTTAT